GAGCAGTTTCTGCAAGTTTTTTGACATATCCTCCATGTTATTTCCAGCTTAGTACCAATAATAATTTATGAAAGGTCTACCAATATGACTCGTTATGACTAACAAATTAATAAATTGCTTGATCAATGACATTTGCCCAACTCATTGTATTTTCTTGGAAGATCTTAGTGCCTTCATGACTTGCAAGCTTCCACTTATATCCATCACAAACAGCAGTTTCCAACTCAGGATCATCTGTATGGTAATATATATTTTAATCAGTTTCACCCAATTCAAAGCCACTAAGACACAACGGGTTACAGGGTGTGGGAGAATTAGGAACAGATGTTTTAATAATAAGCGGGCAGAGAACAGAGTAATCAGAAGGAGAGTAAATAGTGATTGACATTGCATTTAAATTTTTGCAGATTAAAGTTGGCTGGAATGCATGGGGCCGGAAGTGAGTTGTACAAGCAAAAAATATGAGAAAAGAAACTGTTAGCATAGAATTTATGGCTATAGCTAACCAGGTCAACTGTAAATTGATGAGATAATAACTAAGTACTGTTTAAGGTCTTTCTTACTGCAAATACATTTACCACATCACCCCTTACATCTGGCCACCTAACTCCCCAAACTGCAATGTACGGTGCATTTGAGCGAGAGACCGACAAAACTCCTTGTAATGCCAAAGATGAACTGAAGGTATGGTTTATGACAGCATTCACCAACTTAAACAAGGAGGCCAGGAAATTTCAAGGTCATCTGGAGGCCGTGGTTGAAGCCCATGGTGATTTTATTGAATAAATTTACTCTAGTATTTCAAGATATTTTTGTGTAATTTTGGTAAATATCTGTTAAAATGAGATGACAGTGCTATTTTCCTTTTTGCATAATTTAGATGACAATTTATCCATCGCACCTTGTATATATGAATTAGAGTTAGAATGAATGAATGAATGAATATTATGAATGGTGTTAGTTTTTGTTCTGCTAAATGATCAGGTTTAAAGCTGCAAATATTTCTATGTTCAGGATTGTCCTATGTGCAAATAGCCTAATGGATTAAAGTGTTGGACTGTGGAACCAGAACAGTCCATGTTTAGAGAGATATCAGCTTGGCTAATTATCTTTTTACTATGGCTATGTTATTGTTTTTTTTTTTTTTTTTTTTTACTCACCCTGAATCTGTACCCAGGGATTTAACCCACAATTACTATGCCATCAAATTCACAAACCAACACTTTAATCCAGTGGTTCCCAAACTTTTTCTCTGGAACACATTTTTGGAATGAAAATTTGCTCACTCCTCACCAAATTTTATGTGATAAAAAGTACATTTAAAAATATAATAAACATAAAGAGGACTAAAGGGAGATAACTGCGGATTTGAATTCAGAATATTATCCTTGATAACTCTCTCCTCCAATTTGCATACCCTATTTACTATATTTGTAATACTTAACATAAAATCAAAAATATTACAATGATAAAATCAGTTGATAATTATTTATAACTATTTATACTGGGACACATGCAGGCAATTACAAGTAATCCATAATATTTTAAATTTTAAAATCATATTTATTTTGACATATGAATTTTTAATTTTTTGAAACTGTTTCTAAATCTTTGTCTTTCAATCATCCTGCCTCACCTGCTATCCTCTTCCACCACATATATGAGGTGTGCCGATCTGTTTGGGAACCACTGCTTTAATCCAAGTAGGTATCTTACTGCAGGACATTCTTCAAAAATTTAAATCTTCAGCAGAACAAGAACTATATACACCCATAGATTAAATAAAGGGTTTAGTTTGAAATTCCATGATGGTTAACTGGATTGACAGACACCTGGAAGACACAATGGCTAAAATGTTGTGATAATGACAAAGATGAAGACATTAGTCCAAATGGAAATAATAACTCCTAATTATAGAACTTCGAATAGAAACTATTTAAATTTTGTTTTATTTTTCATAAATTTCCTGAAAAAAATGTGATTAATATGGCTACCTTTCAATGGGAAAGAGAGAATTTAATAATCATCTTTCTTTTTAAGTCATGAAAACAAAACTACAATGGAGATACAGAGAAAAATAGTCTCATTTTATTTTAATGGCTAAATAAAATTGCTAGCTTAATTTTAGGAAAGAAATTAACTGCTAACAGATATACACTAAGGCAATAAGAATTCATTTTAACTGTATAAGTTGTCTGTACCAAAAAAAAAAAAAAATTAAATCTCATTTATGGTTAGAAACATTAAAAGCTGTTCCAGTTGTAATCAGCTGGGATAGATTTTTGCCTTTCAGTGTTGGTAAAAGAAGAAAAAAATCAAATCTGGTTTGCTACAAATAAAACATGGCCTTTGATTAGGGGCTGTCCTGTCAAATCCTTTGCTGTCAGGCAAGATAACAAAATGGCTAACACATCATGTGGTCACAATTCCTTCTGCTACTGTTAATAATTAAAGAAAATAAACCCATTTCACAGTTCATTAACTATTATTCTTTATTATACAAACAGCTTTTTTTTTGCTTTCAGCAACAGTGATCTCCATTCTGAAATAAATTTTACATTCAATATACACCGTCTCCTCCAGTTACACACACACATACACACACACACACATTTCATCTTACAGCCCAATAACTAAGTATTGTTTAAGGTCTTTCTTACTGCAAATACATTTACTGAACTTGAGAAAATGTGACTTGAATGTTTTTTGATTAACGACATTTTTACTGAAGATTCTCAACAAAGCAGCAAATAAATCACACAGTTTGTCTAGCATTTTTAAGCAAATATCACAAAGTATCACTAAATAAAAGAAAACACCCTAAATTTTTACAGCTTTTCTGATTGAGAAATAATTTAAAACTGAAAACAGCTTCTTCAAAATGGTTCTCCAGCTTCATTGATTTTTACATCATTAATTTTTTTTTTTTTTAATAGCTACAAATAATTTATTCACTAAACAATTTCATAAAACACTGACGCACAATAATGTCCCTCACTATTTTGTTTTCTGGGTGTATTTCACTGACTTTTTAGATTAAAAAAAAAGTCTTAGAAATTAGTAATAACAGACTTACATTTAAACAATGGGACTTTTCTACTGAACTACTTCTGGCAATGATCTTCAAAATAACACTTTGTAAGTAAAATTTCAATTAAAAATAAATCTAACATAGATTGTTAAAAACAAAAAGAAAAACACATTATATTTCAATGTTATCTTTATCAATACAACACTCCAGTGTCTAATCACTGAAAAAAAAAAAAAAAATTATTACACAGCCTAAGGCTCTTTAAAGAACAACTTTGTACTAACCATTTGTTGCTCTTCTCTGCTGATTTCCGTTATAGAAGCAGTCATGGAATTTACCCCCAAATATCTAGGGATAATGTCTGATTAAATGTGCATACATTTCTTTTTTGTGGGGAGGAAAAGAGATACCCTGTCTCAGAGTGGTTTTAGCAGAAGATAAATTGATAATTAAATGTTTGCCAGTAATGGGGGACGGGAGGTTGAAGTCTTTTCCAATTTTCATCTGAATATATCTTTATTCATTTTGATGAGAATTGATGAATAAAGTTCATATCACTTCCTATTAAAAAAAAAAAAAAACAAAAACAAATCGGTCACAGTGAAAAAGAAGTGGCCTTTATTAATTGGAAAATAGAACTTTTTTTTCCTTCTTCTCCAGAGATCTAACAAAAATATCCTCATTATTAAATATAGATCTATAAAATGATACAGTTTAGTTTAGGGAAGGGATATCAGAGTGCATGAATATTTTTGGAAATATCTCACTTATTCACTGGAGGCATTTTTTATCCTTTTAATTTTTAAACTTTTTGCCAATATTGTATATAAAGTTAGGGATCAGTTTTGGCTTTATCTCAAACTCATTCATTTTAGGTCTTTAAAAAACTATAGGCAACAAAAGAAGGCATGAAATTGTATAACAGATTAACTGTAAGATAATTGTTAACGCACAGTAAATGGGGAAAGGAATCAGTTTTGTAGCTACAAAACTAATTGAAAATTCAATGAAAAAAATCCTTTGTTATGCATTTTGTTCTTTGAAAGGACTTCTTCAGATGAATGTTTTTATCAATGAAATCATAAGTAGGAGGATGGAACGAAATACAATAAATGTTGGCTACATTGAGAAATACTGAAAATGCGGGGATGCTTAATTGTAGACATTAAAATAAATCCTACATGCATAAACCAGTTGACCTCATTCATCTTTCTGCCATTTTTGTTTTTAAATATTCAAGATTGTATCACATATTATGGGATGCAATAATATGATGCATTCTAAATATTCAACATTATATGACATATTATGGGATGTAATTTGATGCATTCTAAATATCCAACATTGTAATAATAGTTGAAAACTTAATGAGGTCAGCTAGGTTATGCATCTAGATATATTGGATGCCTAAAACTTAAACATCACTGAATCTTCAGTGTTTCTCAATATAGAATTGTAATCAATGTTTGTTGTATTTCATACCCCAAAACATATGATGCCAGTGATAAAAAAAAACATTATTAATCTGAAGAAGTCTTTTCAGAAGACATAATGCTTTTGTCACTATGTGTATATATGTGGAGTTGGATACAAAACAAATCCAAAGACTTAACCCTTTTTAAAGACCTTATTCAAGAGATCAAAAAAAATAAGATACCAAGGCCAGAAGTGTTAAAAACTCTGGTTAGCATAACAGGACACTAGGAAAAAAAAAAAAAAAAAAAACAATTGTTAGATAGTGAAGTCTTGAAATAAGAGTAATTGCAGCTTTGTTCAGACTAACATCCTCATCTCAATGTAACAATACAGAACAAAAAGCAATTGAACCATAAATAAAAAATCGAAGCCTGATGAGGATATTAGTCTAAATCAAATGCAGCAAATATATAGAAACAAGACATAATCTCATACATAGTTTGAAGCAATTAAATAATATTCAAGGCAGATAATTGTCTTGGAGATCTGGTTACTAATAGCAGAAAATAGAGCTGAAAGGAATGAAATCCAAAAGGCCTTTGGCTCCAAAGATGAAAGAATCTGGTAAAAACAAAAGAGGAAGATGAAAAGTACTTATTAAAAATTGAGCTTTTTGAGATGATGTCATTATGGAAAGTTTTGCATATTTTGACCTTCTACCTTTTCCTTTTGAAACTGACTTTCTACATTTCAGCCGAGTAGCTCTCGTCCATCTGAAGGATTGACTCTCAAAACTTATACTTTCTCTTTCATGTTAATTTGGATTCGGCAATTTTCATTAAAAAAGACCTTTGATTTCAGTAAAACAGAGGAAAGTTACTAAAAGGAAAAATAGAATTGGGGAAATAAATAGAGAAAGAGATAAACATTCAAGAGATCAAGAAATATATTATTAATAAAGCTTCATCACAAGTTCATAGTTTCTCTTCTATGAACGTAGCTTTTAGAACTTTTAAAAAGATAAAGAGAGAGATTTTTTTTTTCAATAGTAAACCATTAAACTGATAGCTATTTAATTTTTCTGTAGTTGAGATAGACATTTTATGGGAAAGATTTTTCTTTGTGTCTGTCATCTTTTTTTGATATTTTTCTCACAACAAATCATAATGGCACTTTGTGCTTTCTGATTGGATCACACTTTCACTTTCAGTAAGATGAGAGCACAGTCTTTCTTATCTTATCCCAATATGTGTCCGTCTGCATGGAATGTCAATGCAGCATTTATAAGCTGCTAAGTCAGTGTTCAGCCAATTCGTTAGAGAAAAAAACACTCACACTTATGCCATTTTGAGACAGGCCACATGGAAACTGTCACCTTTGTGCTTGCTAACCAGACTCAGTAAAGCCTGCTTCTTTTGTGGGGCATGTGATGATTCTAGCTCGTACAGGGTGCACAGGTTAAAGAGGATTCCCTCATGGAGGTTGTGACTGGGGTCTCTGTGAACCAAATGTTCCAGAGTATCCAGGGCATCTTTCAATTTGCCCAAATACAGTGAAGACACCGCCATGTTGTTTACAGCCTGAAAGTAAAAAAAAAAAAAAAAAATATTAGAATTTCATTTTTTTTTTTTTTTTTTTAGTGAAATCATAAATGCATTTGGTTTTTGCATCCTAAGATGGATGAACTGTATTGTGAGCCTTTTTAAGCCAAGCTAAAGTCGTTGCGACTTACCTTTAGCAGGGAAATGATGAACATGTATCAATTAAATTAGGGGACACAGTACACAAATTATAATGTTTCCGTTCCAATGGTGCCAAAGTGCAAACTTCTCTGTAAACATTCTTGCTTTCATTTCACATTATTAATTATACTTAAATATTCTTTATTTGTAGATAAATTTGTTTCTAGTTCATTCATTTTCTATATCTGATCAACCCTTTTGCAGGTTATATATTTAAAACGGTAAACATTTTTAGATTGTAAGATTTTTTTTTTTTTGGAGATAATAATGGTTTAGGGATACAAGTCTAATTAACCCATAGCTGGGGGAGAAGGGATGGATTCATACCTTACCCAAGAGTACTGTTGTATTCATATGCAAATTTCCACCTTATAAATAGCTGAAGACTAAACAAACTCTAACCTTGAAGACAAAACTACTAGATAAATAGTAGTGAATACTTTTAACTAATTATAGTTTACAATATTCTATTCACTACTATTTCTCTAATAGTTTTGTGTTCAAAGTTACAACTTGTTTAGCCTTCAGCTTTTTCAACTGCTATTTATAAGGTGGAGATTTGCATATGAATACAACATTTGTGCGTGAGTGGATATAATGAACCCAATGGGAAATGGAACACAGCTCTCCAACTAATAATTTTGAGTCATTTGTATTCATTACATCACCCGCATATTCAAGCTTACAGCACCTGGTATGCCAAAGTGGTCACCCATCTAGGTACTGACCAGGCTCAACATTGCTTAACTGGTGATCATACAGGAACCAGTGTTTCAATGTGATGTGGCCATAAGCCTAGGTAAATTTGTGATGTTGAGTATCAATAACAAAGGATGAAATGTCAACCTAACTTATATTACTTTAGGTTGAGAAACTAAGAGTAATATATGTACCTGGCTGCCCTGTACATTGTATGTCATTCTGAACCCAGCAGATCATGGCAGCAACTCATTAAGGTAATAATGTGATCTTAAAAAGACAGTTGCTAAAAGATCTTGTTGTAGTAAAGAAAAGAAAAAAAACTGTAAACTTATAGTAGCAATAAACACCTGCAATAGGTTTTGTTCTGTCTCTCGACCGCAACACTTGTAGCCAAATCACAGTTCAAATGATAGTCCATTGTAACAGTCCAACAGGCAACATAGAAACAACAAAATGGGGTCACAAATCCAACCTTCACTTCTCACCAGCAAAAACATGTTTGTCCACCAAGCTCAGAAAAAAATTGTACTCTCATAAGCGAAAAACAATGGCTTTTATTTACTGAGTGATTTTTTCTGATTGGCCACGCCATTCAGGGGAGGAAAGAACATTAGCATAAATTCTAATAAAGTAGCAGCTTTTTGTTAACTACTTTTGGCAATTTTTCTTTGGCAGATCGCACACAAAACACAAACTCCTTTTTGAGGTAGATGATTATCTATTTCACTACATTTGTGCTTTCCTAAGCCAAGATCTTAATTCTGAAATAATTTTCCATGTAAACTTACCACTGGATTGCTGGGATCCTGAATCACAGCAGATTTGAAATGTTGGAAAGCTTCCAGGAAGTTGCTTGTACACAAGGCCACAAGACCTCTGCAAATGAAAGAAGATTGGAAAAATGAAAGCAGAAGAATAAAAATAAAACCAGGCCTCTTTGGCAGTTGACAATAATATTTTTCATTGGCATAAATATCAGGATTTTAATTAAGAGAAAATTAAGTCCACACAACTGTTTTTCTTCATCCTCTTTCCTTTCAGTTGGGCCCAGACTAAGCTCAATAAATATAACTAAATATTCAAAATATGCACCATATATATATATATATATATATATATAAGTGAACATTGAAGTCAACAATCAGAGGCCACAGGTTGTTTCATGCTAGACGCAATTGTCAGGCCACATGTGTTGTTTTTTTTCTTGACTTTAAAAAAAACAAGTAAAATAAATTAACCCAAATAAATAAATAAACCACTCCCACCAAAATAACTGTCAGAATAGACTACCCACAATGCACCACTGACCAGTATATATAGTTGAGAAAAAACCCAACACATGTGGCCTGCTGATTGCGTCTAGCATGAAACAGCCTGTCGCCTCTGAGTGTTGACTTCAATGTTCACTTTTATATTTACATATGCTCTATCTCTGATATTGAGGATTTTATCCCATAAATATAGCACACCTTAAAACTATATATATATTTTTACCACACTGTTGTATGTCTGAGAATCATGGACCCCATATAGGTTCCATATCAATCAGCTGGATCTTTTCCATCAAAAGTTGTCTCTGTGTGATCTGTGGCTATAGTTTTGACAATAGGGTGTCCATTACTGATCTCGCAAAATGCAACATTGCATCAGGAAAGTCTTAATTCCACCAGTCACAAAGGTTCTCATGTATAACCAGCTTGAAAGTGGATAAAGAACTGTTGGACAGCTGTCACTCAGGCAAAAAGACAAGCTAAAGAGTAACCTCTCAGCTGTCAATGTTCCTCATACTAACTTCAAGCAAGTTGCCCTGGATAAAAATAACTGAAGCTATTTGGGCCAGAGGGATAGCAGAAATTTTGAAATCAGTCATATTGAGGTGAAAGACAACAGTGAAAAGCGTCAGCAAATATTCCTGTTGCTATGTCCCGAGATCCTTGCAGTTGCACAATATGTGGATTTGTATGCAGGTCACTAGTGGAAATAAAGTGTCACATATGACAAATATAAAAGCTAAATAAGGTTGTTGGATCCTTATATGTAAAAGTGAATGGAAGAGTCCATCATCATATATAAATATATAAAGGTTAATGGTCAGAGTTGAATCAGACTGGGAAACAGTAATATTAAAAAGTGCTCAATGCTAGTGTGAAAAAATAAAATAAAAATAACATGTAGAGCTTTTAACTTTAAAAATTAGGAGATCAGGTGAATCTGCTACCTTGGTTTCAATCTTACAGTATCCTCAGGTGATTTTTATCAATTGACCACCCAACACTTTATTTTTAAAAAACTAATGAATGCTATATTATTTTTAAAAAATAAACAAATGCATGATGTATGGGTATGATAGAAAAGGAAGAGGAGGATGTGAAGAAGGAAGAAGAAAAGGGAGGGGAAAGCAAGGGTATTATAAATGTATCATCTTGGTAATTGAAATGTATATACTTTTTTATCCAGTCTCATATGACCTTAAGAGGAATTTTTTGTATGTATGCAAGGGCTCAGGATTTCAGATTTCTAGTTCAAAAGTTTTTTTGGATCTGGAAATATCATTGCTAATTTTTCCTGTTGGCAGAGGTTGCAAATATTATTGTGGTTGTTATAAGGCTTTGCTTGTTTTAAAATTTTCCAGCTTACAATTGGATCCCTGCTGTTTTTTCTTTTAAATTCCACACATGATTAGTTAGTTTGGTAGAGCACCTAAGACTTACTAGCTTGAATGATGACCTATGATTGTATCATCTACGTTTGAAAGTAACTTCAGTACATCCTATGTACGTTTTATTTTGGCCATTAATATCTATTACTTCTGCTTTATAGATTATTGCTTCAGTTTTACAAGCGCCATCTAATGGACATCTATTTTTATTTCTACAGCTGCATAAATTACTAGTGTTAACTATATTTTATTGTGCATTAGTGTTGAAATTTCTGGTGTTTTGTTTATTTATTATTGTTTCTAAATTACAAGTGCTGCTGTAGCTTAATTTAACTGTTTTTATTGAATATCTTATGTAATTCCAAATTTTTGGGGAAGTGTTTAGTAAGTAACTTGGAAAATAATTTCCCTATTTTACATTTTACCTCTAAGTTAAAAAAAAAGGGGGGGTAAACCAAATGATATTTTTTTCTTTTCCTAGGTGTGTGTGTGTGTGTGTGTGTGTGTGTGTGTGTGCACACGTAATGGCCAGCTACTCATTTTCTAAGCACACCCATCAGAGTGGCTAACCAATCCCTGTTGCAGATGCCTGCACAGGCACATTTGTATTTGTCCAACACTCCCAGAGCCAACCTGTGGTTTATACTGCACCAATGCTGAGTGGACCTTAGTTACAGTTTCTAGGAGAGAGTGCACAATCTGGCGTGATCAACGGTTTTTGAATGAGGCCAATACACTCAAACCCTCAATCATGTTGACTTATGACTTTGTGCTAGCACAACTATTGATGGCCTCCAAACACTTACATCTATACCATTTCACTTACAAGGTTTAGGTCAATTCATGGTATGCTTTTCAGACACTTTCCAAAAGGTGCCACATGTTGGGATTATCTCCCCAGGCCAATACCATCAAGAAATCATTTCTTTGACAAATCAGCCATGGTGAGATTCATACCCTGGTCTCATGGTTGGAAAGCAAATATTCTGAGTATATGCCTAGACATACATACATAAAAAAAAAACAAGATTCCACCTCAATGACAAGTATGAGTTGTGCCTTGAATGGATATGGCTCTTTAAACTGGACAAACTTTTAAAACCCCTGGCACATATTTTGTTGTCATTAGGTTTATGTTTATGAATGTTTGTGTCTTTTCAGACCACCAGATGACTTGCACAATTTTCCACAAATGTGACATGAATGAAATTTCATTGTTGGTTGGTACAATGACTTTGTATATGACTCAATTTTCCTGCTTTACTCTAGCAAAATCTAACACAAACGTCACTGACTTACATACATACAAATTTGATCAAAGACCAACAAAAGTTCTTTGTTAAGGAGTTTTTTTATTTTTTTTCTGTTTAAGATCCTTTTCCTGGTTTTCAAAATATACTAAAATATGAACTGACATATGTGATAATTGAAACCGGATCAAACTGACATAGCACAAAAGACAAAAAGTCTTTGATAATGGCTTATGAAAGCTAAAATATTGGACAATTTATGTTAAATTCTATTTCTGCTTTTTTTCTCCTTCCCCACTCTCCCAGGAGCTTTCATTTCTCTATTCTATTCATAATTCAAAAAAATTAGTATTCTGAAAATAACTTTATAGTAATTTGAATTGTGAATTATAGTAATGTCCTTTTCCTCTTTTTCATAGCCCTTCTTGTTTCTAACATTTTTTGAATATCTAATTTGTAACTATCTGGTATTTTAGAGAGAGAGAGAGAGAGAGAGAGAGAAATGAATAGTGATTACAGACTCTTCAAAGCTGGAAGATTCATACTTAGGTAGAATCAAAACAGATTAACAAGTACCTGAATTGATTGAATCATGATCAGCACCAAATATGAAATTGTCACTTACTTGTTAAGGGCAATTTTGGAGGCTGTAACTTTGCTTCCAGACGGCAAAAGCTGTTCTGATTTATTGAAGTAGTCTTCTGCAGTGTTAATGTCTCCCATCTGAAATGCAGCAAAATTGCCGATTTTCCAAGAAGAAAATTTAATTGCTTAAACTTTTCATTGCCCACCTCCTCGACTGTTAATGAAAAGTCACATGCATGTTGTCTCATTTGAATGAAATGCTTGATTCTTTTCTCCAGTAGAGATAAATTTTTAGAGAGCAGGTCAGATAATTTAATACTACTTCTTTTATGAAGGATTTTATATAAAGAAAATATTTAATCCTAAAGTTTATTTGAAAATCTCTGTGCACATCTTTTAAAAACTGTTAGCAAAGCACTTAATTCTGCCTTTATTCTTCACCTTTGGATCTGGCTTCTTCTCAGAGTAAACGAGAATGAGTGCTATTGGTATGGAGAAAAAGGAATGAGGACAATATTGCACAAATTATCCCATTCCTGTGATTGATTATGAATACATAATGCAACTTCCCTTCAAGGATTAAATTACAAAATGAATGATGGCATACACAAAACAAAGGCCACAAAATTATATTTTAATTTACAATGAACACATTATGAATATAAACATATAAAAAACGAAAAATTACTTTGCAGATGTTTTTTCCTTTGCAGTTTTATAATTACTCATTGACTAAGCAACAAATCAGAAAAAAATAAAATTATGGGAAATGGATTTATCATTTTGGATAAATCCATTTACCCATCTCTGACTGCAACTGTCACTCACTACATCTCAATGGATGATTCATGACTGGCTATTCTAGAATACAGCCCGACTATATAAGCCCATTACTGAAATTCTCTACCTTCTGGCTGGGTGGCACTTGATCTTGAAAGTTTTCATTTAATTATTCCCCCCACTATGTCTGGATAACAGCTGGTTGCTTTGGAGTTCTCACATCTTGATTTTACTGCCTTTACAATAAAACTTTAAAGGTTTAGATGCAAAGGAATCTTTGAATGTATCTTTTTTTCAGCAGAATGTTTTTTGGCTTAAAAAATTGCTTGAGAAAGTAGTACTCATTGGGTGAGAAACCAGGGTAATCTGGTGGGTGTGGCAAAGTTTCATATCCAAAGTCAGTGAACTTTTGCAGTATCATTCATATGGCAACATATGGTCAAGCATTTATAAGCGAAGAAAAAGTTTTACATCAAACCAAGTGACAAATGACAGTGAGGCGAATGAAGAAAACAATAACCAGCGAGTAAATTCAAGCTCTCCCAACTGGTATTTCAAACTTGATTCCTTCCTGAGTTCTGTCTCAAATCACACTAACTGCCCGTTCTAGCCGTCAACCGTGAACGTCCCTCGAAGAACTTCGCTTCGACTTGGAAAAAAGTAGTTGTTTTATAGTTGTTCATGTACCCATAATCCCTTGCGTCTTCCTGTGATCCCATAATTCATTGCGTCCATGTCCCCATAATGCATTGTCCATGTCCCATAATGCATTGCATCGTTATTGGATAAAAATGCGATGCCAGTCCCCCTCATTCTTTTTATGTTAAGGATGGATTCGTCAGAAGCGGTAAGTGCTTTTTTTTCTCCTCATTTCAACTGCAGTAGCTTTATATAAGCAAAAATTTCTTTTTGGCGGGGACAAGGCAAGTCGCGACCAGTTGTGCTGAAATCCCAGGTTCTGTCTCATGTCCGCCCTCCCCCCTGATCTCCGGATCACACAGATGACAGTGAGGATACTCTTTTTTGTTCAGGTGCTCCTCCGAAGGGGATTGGTTGAATTTCTTCATCAGAATGTTTCCCGATCTATTGGCAAACTGGATGAGATTGGTTGTTGAATCCAACTCTATGTATATTGGCTGTTCACTATCCTCCGTGTCTTCTTCGTCAAATTCGAGCCCAAAAAAGGCGCGAGGTCTCTAACATGGCGTTCCATCGACCCTGACTGCTGACTCACCACCTTCACCACGTCCGGTTCCAAATTTAAAGTTTTACCATGTCCCTTCCTTGTATTCCCCTTCGGTTATTTGGAATGCCTCTCACCCGGACGTGAATGTGTGTGCAGTACATCAGCCGGTGCCGTGGAAGGTTTGTCCTTATGACGTTAGCAAACCGAAGACTGAACAATTTTTCCTGGCAGTTTTTGGCCTTCTGTACAAAAATTGTCTGCAAGAAAAATTGTCAGTCAGTATTTGCGGGCGGGCCTCGTTATTCTAGGTGACGAAACCAAAGTCTTGCCGTCTCCAGTGGCGCCATACTGCAAAAGAAAAATGGCTACCATTGCAATGGGTTACGTCCATTGCTAACCTGCTCCAGTTCTCACACTCAAATTTCCTTTCTTCCAATGCACTGGTGCTGGATCGATCGATTGGCAACAGGTTCTAACGACAGATTTTACCAGTTCCTTAGACACCGTTGGATCTACAGTCCCTATACATTGTTCTTTTAACACCTTCTGCTGGTGGATGTGGGTCACCTGACGTTTGCTCAACTGGCTCAAGCAAAAACTCACTTGCACAGTTCTCCTCCTTTCTTGTGCATCTCCAACCAGCGTTGCGGCACTCTGGTGAGGCTGTCATGACAGATTTCACCAACGTCACAGATCATAAAAGTGCGTACTCCTCCAAAGCTTCGCAGTGTCTCTAAGCGCCGCCTCATCAAAAATTTCACCCGCTTCCTTCGTTTCCAACACCCACCGATGCAGCCAGAATCGGTGACCACATGCATAACTGGTGCCTGCCACTGCAGGGCAAATTCAATCATCAAGCTCAGCAAGATTAATGTGTTTGGCATCAAACCAGCAAGCATCTTCCACGCATGATTCACCTCTGCTTCAACACGGATTTAATCTCCACCCGAAAGGAAAATTTATTCCTTTGTCTGAAGAAGTCTGTTTGCAAACCCACATTTAAATTGTAAAAACAAGTTCATATATCCTGATCCTGGGGCCGTATATCATAGTCGATCGAGAGAACAGAGCTGATAAAGATAAAAAAAACTTGCCCTTTTGACCACTTTTGCCCCAAAATCTTTTGAGTGTCCTTCCCAGCTGTCTACAATGGATAGTTATTCTGTTTTGTGTTCTTATGCAAAATGGGAATTAACCTTGATAAAGCTCTTTCTCAGGATTGACCGTGTTCATCGTGCATCCCCGAGAAAAACGTTATTTTTGGCGGCACATGACTGGTTTGATTGCATCAATCCCGAAAAAAGATCAATCCTTGTCAAGATATGTTCCTTTTTTAATTTTTTTACCGTATCCACGGCATTCAAGTTTCCTGCTTCCACAACACACGGTCTTGCTCACCAGAGTCTGTGAATCCATGAATCCACTTAGTTGTGCACTTACTCCATCTACAAATACTTGATATATGGGTAGCCTTTTTTTTTTAAAACGTATTCTGGGAAAAACTGGCATTCTGAGGAAATGTGTCCCAACCAGACCTCTGCGTTCTGTTTGACCTCTCCTGTCCTTGTGTACAATTCGCCCGCCCATATGGTTTGGGTCCAGAGCACTTGTAGCAGGTATCATTCCTCAGCAGCAAACGGCTAGGCTCTACCTACGGATGTGAAATACCTGGCACCCTTCGTCATCCGTCATAATAGCCCTTGCTAGAATCTGTTCTAGTTCATGTTTGGAAGAAGCTTTGAGAATGCCCCCTCCCACACAAATGCACATGCCATCACCGATCAGGTAGCGGTTCTCCCTACTAGACAGGTCACATTTCAGCCAGGAATTCATCTAACATTGGTCGATCAAATTTGTCACTGATTGCAGTCATAAATGGACTATAATCCATTTGTCTATATACAACCAGTGCTGCACCTCTCACGTAAACTTTGGCAAGATGTTCGATCTTGTCCATGGCAAAAAGCCAGACCAATTCCCATTTTTCTATCCATTCAACAATGATAAATCAAACGGACGTCAAAGAATTGATCCATTTTGAAGAATCAATATGCCAAATAGCTTGAGCTGAACCACCAGAACTGGTATTTCAAACGAGATAAAATCAACTTTTGTTGGTGTAACTTGGAAAAAAGTTTGTTTTTATAGTTTTCATGAATAATGTTTTCCTGATCCCATAATTCATTGCGTCCATGTCTAATGCATTAAAATCCATGTCCCATAATGCATTGCATCGTTATTGATAAAAATGCGATTGAGTCCCCCTCATTCTTTTATGTTATCTGGCAGAGGATGGATTACGTCAGAGCGGTAAGTGCTTTTTTTTCTCCTCATTTCAACTGCAGTAGCTTTACATGCTAATCAAATACGGGCTCTTTTTTGGCGGGACAAGGCAAATTTGACCAGTTGTGCACGATCCCAGGTTCTGTCTCATGTCCGCCTCATTTTATATCCTACAGTGAGGCAAAAAAAAAATTACTTACTAAAAGGCACGATTTCGCATGACATGCTGAAGACGGAATATTTAAATTAAAAAACAAGTTCATCACAGAGTTTTTTGAGTGTCCTCTCCAGCTGAGATAATGGAAAAAATGCTTGGCTGATAAAAGCAGTTGATGTTCTCGAATCGATGAGAAAAAATTATTTTCTGACTGGTTCATATGTTTGTGAGATAGTTGATGAATCAAGTTTACTTTTCTTTCTGCCCCCGATGTTCAAGTCTGAACTTAGTGATTTATTCTCTGTGTCGTGGAAGTAATCTGCGACAAATATTTCCTTTGCAATCCCAGATCGCTTACAACATTATCATGAAGCAGAAATGGACTACATTTATTAACCAGTGCTGGTAGTAAACTTTGGCAGTGTTATTCTGGCTAGATTTGAGAAATCTGTAATGGATAGTGCCAATGGCTGACCACCAGACAGTCACCATAACCTTCTGTTGGTGTAATTTTAGTTTAGAAAGTGTTTGGGTAATTCTTCACGATGAAGCCATCGAGTTGATCATTTATGATTATCATAAAGGATCCATTTCTCATCACAAGTCACTACTGAATCAAGAAATTGATTTGTTCAGATTTCACAGATGCAGCATCGAACACACTTCAAAATGCTAACAACTTTGAATTTCACTGAGTTCATTGTTGAAATCCTGACACCCATTATCTGAGATATTTCCCTGACACTTTGATGTGGGATTGTCTCAACTAGTGTTTTCAGATGTTGATTGTCAATTGCAGGCAAACGTCCTCTACCACCTCGATCTTCAAGACTCGTATCCCCACTATGGAACTTCAGAAACTAGTGCCATACTGTCCAATCACAAGTGGATCCTTTACCCCATGCTCTATTAATGTTGGCAGCAGTTTGAGGAGCATTAGAACCAAACTTGAATTTATCAAAAAGTAAACACATTTCTTCATTTTTCATGTTCAAAATAGGGGGTATATAATATTTGAAGTTAAATTCTGAAAGCAATTGATATAAAATTAACAAAGAGGACACTTTAATCATTAGGAATGAGTCGTATATTTTTTGTGCAGTTATTATAATAATATATTAGAACAGAAAAGGTTTATTCTAAAATCGGACATTATTTTCCAAACAACTTAATGTTTACTGTAACAAAATGCAAACCAACTAAAAAAAAAAAAAAAAAAAAGTATACTTCAATTTTTCAAGTATTCTGCCCTGGATGATTCAAAGAAAAACTTACTTGGAGGAATATACGTCCAATACCAGTGAGTAGGGCTCCTTGGCTGTTGACATCTTTCTTCAGTAATTCTTGGTAAACATTTAGACAGGCTTCATAGTCCTATGGCACAAAAAAATATAAATAATGATTACATAATATATTTGCGGCACAAGAAGGAAGAAATCCCAGCCAGATTTTCCATTTAAGAGAAAAGAGGTACATCAAAGATCATAAAGAACAGTTACTATTTTTTTCATTTGTTTTAAAGGTGCTTTCTCTCCTGTAATTCCCCACCTCCACCCATCTGATGAATGAATAGTGACATTTATCCAGAAATTTCAGCCATCACTATAAATTTTCACATCTTGAAATTCTTCGATGCAATGTTTAAAAAATAAAATCTCATCAATAATTTTAAATTAAAAAAAATCTCAAAATGTCAGTTACAAATTCCCCCAGCTGATCACTTATATCATTTTATACTAATACCATTGGAAAAGGCATACACAATAAATTTCCCTGAATCATGACCTCCCCCCACCTCCAATGCAATAGTTATCTTAGTTTTATATTAATATGAAAAGAGAGTTTGGAGATGCTGGACAAGTCTCCTTGATGCAAGCACCATCATTTATTGTCGATCATTGTTGAACTTGAAAAATGAAAGACAGGCAAGCAACAACCAGAATAAAATTGAGAAAAAAATTTCCTGTATTCTTTCTCAACATTTAAAATGTGAATTTGATAACAATCCTTAAAATAAAATCTTGTTCAAAAGTGAAATGAAAACAGCATAATATCACGCAAGGATAATAACAAATGAACAACAATGATGTTTTAGAAAAGAAAAAATGGGTTTAATTATGTTTAACTTGGATATTTTTTCTATTATTTGCTTCTTGAAATGCGACTGAAGGAAGAAAGGAAGATAGAAAGTAATAAGAAGATAAGATGATGAGATTTACAAAGGAGTTGAGATGCTGGCATCAGTCATTGATTTACCTTAATGGAAAGAAGAATGTTGGCAATTATGTACATCACTTGGCATTCTCTGTTGGCCCACAATTCCAAAGAAGCTGAAGAATGCAAAAGAAAAATCCCCCATTAGTTGTATTTTTTTCACATGCACACACACAAAAGAAAAAGAAAAAATGATGGATAGAAATTCAGATTTTCTGTCATTTTGGAAAAGAATATATTGCATTGTGCCCAGACACAAAACTGTAAATACAAGAGCGGTTCAATAAGTCTGTAAACTGATATTAGCTGAATTTTGATCTGAAATGTTTACTGTATAATGTTCAATCAGTATGATTCAGGTTCCCTTTTGTGCATGGAGGAATTCATTAAAGCAATTGAGGAAAACCATGGAGAGAGTTTGAATGTGTAGAAAAAAAAAAAGAATCAATTAAATTCTTAATTAGAATCCATAAGTGAGTAGTGGAAACAGAACCAACAAGAATTGAATGCTGGTTTAACTTAGCAAAATCAAGTAAATCCAGTATGACTAAAATTTACTCAAGTCTCCATCAGAGTCAACATGATTAATTTAATTGATTCTTTTTTTTCTACTCATTCAAACTCTCTCCATGGTTTTCCTCAATTGCTTTAATGAATTCCTCCATGCACAAAAGGGAACCTGAATCATACTGATTGAACATTATACAGTAAACATTTCAGATCAAAATTCAGCTAATATCAGGTTACAGACTTATTGAACTGCTCTTGTATTTACAGTTTTGTGTCTGGGCACAATGCAATATATTCTTTTCCAAAATGACAGAAAATCTGAATTTCTATCCATCATTTTTTTCTTTTTCTTTTGTGTGTGTGCATGTGAAACTTGGGTAAATTTTAGTCATACTGGATTTACTTTGATAAAATCTAAGCCCGTCTCAACCTAAACAAAGATATTTTCATACTAATTCAGCTAATTCTATGTTTTATTATCAGAAGGGTCAAATTCTGGTTTTTGGGACACTTGTCAGCATTAGGGACATCTGGTTTTCAGACAATGAAGACGAGGAATGAATGAACACATGCACAATAATTATGTTGCATATTGTATTCACATAATAATCATGCAATATTCATGTTTTTTTTAACCAACTACTCATATTCTTATAATAAACAGATTTGTTGATTGATTGTGCATGGAATTGAAGATATACCATTTCAGTCAACAGAAAAACCTCAAAGAAAACACTAAGTTGAAGAAATCTTTATGTCACACCACAAATCCATAGACATACAACAATCTAACAATTTGTGAGCTGTCGAGACTGGATAGGTCACTACGGTCCAACCTCTTAAATCTGGTATGGAATGGCCTGGCACTTTTTGGACTCAGCTGCCATTAGTTGGTTGAGTAGCAATGAGGGCAACACCACATGTTGCTTACAACTTTCTGCAGCAGCCAACAACAGTAGAATGTTTCCAGGATACATTCTTGCTCATTTCTTCTATATAGCTGTATACAGTTTAGTAAGTATATATATCATTTTTTTACTTTTAGGCATTTTTAGCCTTTGTATTGCTTGAAAAAATAGAAACTTTGTTTGGAAGCATTAATTATTGCTTTACTTCCTGTTTTAAGCTTTGTTTTACATTTGATAACACAACAATATATATATGTGGAACAAGCTGACAAGATTATGTTTACAAAGGGTTTTTTTTTGGTGATTTCTGTCATTAGGCATTTTCTGTGGTCCAACAATGGCCTGGTTCCAAGGGCACTGGATTAAAGAGGTTGGACTGTACTATTTATTGCAGGTGTGAGAATTAATAATGGTCATGCACAAGGTCATAATATTCATCAATGAATTAAGTGCATTGACAAGGAGGTAGATTAGGTTGAAAAGTTTTTGTATGAAATTTTGTTTTCCTCACTACAGACTACAAATGTTTCACTTCAGGTGTTAAGATTGCTTTCCATTGAAATAGTCATTTCAATTCTAACCAGTGATTACTTTTTTAATTACTAATTACATTTTAAAACTTTGGACAGTACTGCATGAAAAAAAAAGAAAAAGAAAAACTCAAAATTACAACTTCCAATGATAATGCGGCAAAAGTAAACTTTTGTTTTTGCTGCAACTTTGTATAGCCTGATTGAAGTACATATTACAATATTTTACACATTTTTTTGTTTGAACATAAAACTAGAACCAACCATATTAAAGTTAAGCAAAACCTTCCATGCCATGTTAAGAAAATCCAGTACATTCATGTACTTATAAAATTCCTAATAAGGTTATATTTTAGATAATAATTCTTTCACAATGTGGAAACTTACATTTCTTTGCTTCTGTTCCAAGTTCCATTGGCATACCATCTTCTGCTAATCCATTCTCCACATTTGCAAGAATCTACACAGATGGAATGGAAGGAAAAAAGAACTATAATGATTATCCGAGTCAACCATCGATTTTCCAGAAACTGATGACATGACACCTCTTCTAATCCAAACAAAATTACAAGCACCCCGCACATTTCTAGGTCAACCAAAAGACTGCCTTCAAAATTATTATTCTGGACAACTGGATAAGAAGAATGTGTATACAGTAGACTCATTTATCAAATTGTTATTTGGGTTTGAAGTTTACAATAATCAGCTGTGTAACATGAACTGGAAGTTAATGAAGATTCACATTAACATATACAGAATTACAGGCCAGTTAAAGTCACATCACCTTTTGAGATTTTGTGTGCTTTCCATCCATTGGTGTGGCAAGCAGATCCTTCAAATTTGGCATGAATTGAACTTCTATGAGAATAGAATTAATGCTGAGTTGAAGTCACTGGACTTGTTGGAGGAGATCTCCATCATGCCATGTTAATGTAAAACTAATCTTCTTCAAGGACACAGAACACATCTTACCTTGAAAGAAGCAGTGAATCTTGTAGAATAAAAATTTGTAGAAAAGAAACCACATTCATCTATGTAGCATTGTTATATGCAAACAGTAATAAACTTCTGAACACCTGAAGGAGAAGATTTGGCAATTCATTTCAGTTGAATTGTGTTTTTAGCTTATTAGCAAACAAAATCCACCACACATAACACCTTAAGGAACAAGAACTGCATGTAAGTGTGGCACAATAGGTCCCCCATATGACTGACTAAACACACACAAAGTGGACCCTAAATGATGCTATCAGAGTCAGAAATATTTTTTCTTTTAATGGCTGGAAGATAGTCTTTGAAGTTTAAAGAAAGTGAAAAAATCAATCTGCTCCACTGGCCAAGAGTAACTAACAAAGTCAGGAATTGAATAAAATGCAATGTTAAGTAATGAAAGATTAAGTCATATTTTTCATTAGCTGACAAAATGACTTCTTTTCTTAGATCATTTCACCCCAGGCAAGGCAATAAAACCACTAATACACAAAGGTTAGTGATTGTGAGAGAATATGAGAAAAAATATTATTAAGGTGAGAGAATAATAAAATAACAAGAATTAAGACAGAAGGTAACGATTGGCATTGCATTTACATTTTTGTAGATCAAATTTAACTGGAAAGCAAGAAGTTGGAAGAGAGTTCTACAAATGAGAAGTAATGTACGGTTACATCTAGACATTTCAACTGTAAAAATGATAAGACCTTTCCATCAGTACTATACTTAAATTTATAAAGTCTAGGTACCAAAGAGGAAAAGTCATCAGAACAATTACGATGAAAGTATTTATAGAAAAGGCACAGGGAAGCTATGTTATAGCAGTAGGAGAGTGACTGAAGTCAAGATGCCGAGTAAGGACCAATCACATTACAGATTTTTCTTTGTATTTTATCAAGAATCTGTAAATATATAGCAGAAACACTATGCCAGCTGTAGCAGAAATATTCAATGCATGGACAAATGTATTCATTATGCACAGTTTGAAATTAGGAGTTTTACCATTTGAATTTCATATTATTAATAAATAATTTGTGTGTGTGTGTGTGTGTGTGTGTGTGTGTATATAAAATGTGAATATAGGTAACATGTTATTTGAAAGTTAAAGCTTGGCCAGCAGGGTTTTTTATTTTGCCATTTGCAGATCGAGATGTAAATTTCTGAAATTAGTCTTAAGTAATATGAACATCAGAATGTATCTTAAGAACTTGGAAGTAAATGGAGTCATTTACCTGTCGTACAACAGACAGAATATAGTAGAGTTTATCCAAGGCATCTTTGTTGTGCCCAAGATAATAAGGAAGCTGTGCATCCAACAAACGCAATCCAAAAGGTACCATAGAGCCTGAAAAAAAAAATTATTCAAAATGTTTGAACCAATAAATTTGCATATTGCCCAAAAAATAGACAAAAATAGAATAAAAATAACTGCCAATCATTAAATTTTTATTATATACTTACAATTTACTTTTTCAATTAATTACAATTATAGACATGTAATAAAAGTTCACTAATTATCTTTCTCTCATTCATATATCTGTAAATATATATTTTTTATACTAATTTTTACCCAATAAAAAGCCAAAGAGCCTCTCAAGGTAGGTAGTTACTGTGTGAATATTGCATTAACATTTTTTTTATTAATAACAATGATTTTTCCAGATACATGTTCAACTATTTAACCCATAGATAGAAGGATTCAATACCTTTCCCAAGTGTGTTTGTACATAAGTGAATGAAACAAATCCAACTGGACTGAACTCAAATTTCTGATTTCTCATTCTGAGCTCCTATCCATTACACCACTTGCACAGCCAGTTTTAATTGTGTGTGTGTGTGTGCATAAGTGCATGTATGTATGTATGTACTTTATCATGTATAATCTAGGTGTGTTATCCTAATCATAGAGACAGGTTAGATTCTAATTCAGCTTGAAAAAAATAAAAAAATGAAATGTTGATGCTTAAACAACTGACAACTGTTTATTTAAACAATTGACAATTTGGCAAACTTGGACCTTTGTGCCCACAAAAAAAACCCCAGAGTGTCCAAAGGATGGTTTTCCCAACCAACTCTAAGGAAATTGTTATTATTTACCATTTTATAAAGTTTGAATCGATTGGCAATTAGCTGATGTTTTGCCAACTTTGCTGTATACTGAAGAGTTCCCACCTCAACCGAGCGAGTTCTATTTATACTCACGCGGACATCATATCTGCTCCCTCCCTTGTATTCAGATTGTTTCCCCCCTCTTCTTCCGAACTGCTGCCTGCATACCTTTGGGGTTTTCTCACATGGCGTTTTGGTCATCTTAGGGCTATAGGGATATCTGCTTCTTCCTTCTCCTCGCTTTCTCTCTCATGTTCTATATCTTTCTGCCCCTCAAGGTTGTCGTTGAAAAGGAAGTCGTCATCCCTTGGTTGTTGGTGAGTCCTGTCTTCGGGGATTCTTTTCATTTGTGATGTGTGTCATAAAATAAGTTTGTCACCTCATGTTATAATTGCAGATTCGCCTCTGCATTCTTTTATTCTCCATGGTGTTGGGTGGTAAACTGTCGTTAGCTTGTTGTGTTTACTTTGTTTAAGTAGTATAACATTTCCGGGTTCTACGTTAGTTTGTTTAGCTTTATTTTTTTGATCTGTGCGATTTTTCAATCTGTCTTTTTCTTTTTTGTCTTTGTCTTTGCTGTTCTCCAAGCTTGGTTTTCAGGCCTCTTTTTGTAATCCTGGTATGTTGATGTTTACTTCCCTACCCATGAGTAGCTTAGCTGGAGTTTCTCCCATCATGGCATGTGGACTATTTCGGTAATACATTAGGAATTTTCTTAGATGTTTTTTCCAGTCCTTTCCTTCTGTGTTCATCGTCCGAATGGCTTTCAACATGGTTGAGAAGAACCGCTCGATCTCTCCATTAGCTTGGGGATGATAAAGGGTTACCTTTCAGTGTTGGATACCCCATTCTTTGCAGAAGTGCTTAAACTCTGAGGATATGAACTGGGGTCCATTATCTGAAAGGATAATCGCTGGAATGCCATGTGTATAGAAACACCTTTGGATTGTCGATATGATTGTATCAGCCCTGGTGGATTTGGTAACAAATGCCTCTGGCCATCTTGATCCCGCATCGATTATTCCGATTACATAATCCCCACTAGGGAAAGGTCCACAGATGTCTACATGGAGTATTTCCCAGGGGCCTTTCATTTCGGCCATATGCACCGGACAGTGGTTTCCCTTTGGGTCTAATGTTGTGCACAGGATACATCGGCTTATGCCAGCCTCTATGTTTTTGTCTATATTGGGCCACCATACCTTAGTTCTGAGCAGGGCTTTTGTTTTCATTATCCCCATATGTGTCTCATGCGCCAATTTCAGGATTCGTTTCTGTAGATTTTGGGGTATGATGATTCTGGCTCCGCGTATGACTACGCCTCGTTTTGTTGTCAGTTCATTCCTCACGTGTTTAAAGGGTTCCGTTAACTTATTGGTCCAGTCGTTTTGTTGTATTGCCCTTTTCACTGCTGTGACAGTTGGATCCCGCTGAGATTCCTCCATTATTTCCAATAAGGTGATTGATTTTGGAATGCTGTTAGCTACAACTGTGTTGATAAATCCTTTGTGAGGTAATTGATTAGACTTAAGAAACTACGTATATCCTGGACGTTTTCAGAGTTTTTGAAATTTCTGATTGCTTTTATTTTCAAGTCAGTCAGTCTGATCCCTGTATTGGACACTATAAAACCATGGAATTCGATTTCTTCACTCTTGAATATGCTTTTGTGCTCTGCAATTGTGAGTTTGTTTTCTTTCACTGTGCCTAATACCATATCTAGGATTCTGTTATGTTCTCTTGTGTCTTTGCCCCAGATTAGAATGTTGTCTGCCCCATTGCAGCAGTTAGGGATTTTCTGAAGGATTTTTTGAAGCAATCGTTGCCCTTCTTCGGCTGCAGATGCAATGACCATAACCAGTACCTTATTTTGGTAGATTCCGGATTTGCATGAAAAGGTAGTGATGTCCCTAGATTCAGGATCCAGTTCTATTTGGTGGTAATAAGAGTTTAGGTCAATCTTTGAGAAAACGTTTGCATTGCTAATTTCACTGTTCAAATGTTGGTATTTGATAGCGAGTGTGTTTCACTGCTTTATTTGCCACGTGTAAGTCAGCACATATTCTAATTTCTCCCTTTGGTTTTGGTACTGTTACTAACGGTGAGACCCATGGAGTGGGTCCTTCCACTCTTTCGATGATACCATTTTCTAGCATTTCATTGATTTTTTCCTCTACTGCTTGTTGGATATGAAATGGTGTCTGTCTTGCCGGTTGTGCAACAGGTATAACTTTGTCGTCTAGTCTAATTTTGAGTTGGAAATTTTTCATTCTTCCTAATCCTTCCAACGAGGGTAGGTGTCGATCTAGAATTTCTTTTGTTGATTTTGGGATACTTTTTGTTGTAATCGATTTCACCTGTGGGGTGGTGATAAACCCTAATTCGATGCTGGCCCGCTTACTTAATATGTTACCACCTTGATATGCCTTTGTAACGAATACTTTCTGGGCTTTTCTTCTGGGACCATTTGTCAGCGTTGCAAAAAATTCTCCTCTTAGTGGTATTGGAATATTCCCATAGGCTTTTGGATTACAATTTGTTTCTTTTAATGTTAAGTTTGGCCATACTTTAAGGATTTCTTTAAATGTTTTGCCGTCGATAAGGTTGATATCTGCTCCCGAATCTATTAATATTCCGACTGGTACATCGTCAATATGGACAATTTTGCTATCTGCTGAATGAATAGGTTTCACCTGAAAAACGAATGTCTAGCTGTCTGCATTATTCGGATTCCTCGATACTGGTTGGACGTAATTGTGGCCGTCTGACATCTTTGTTTTCCCTTTACCACTGTTCTTTTTTTTAAGCATGTTTTTTCAAAGTGATTTATTACTCCACAGTAGTTACATTTTTTCCCAAATGCTGGGCATTTTGTTTGACTGTGTATGTGGTTGGAGCCATTACACTCATAGCATTTTGTAACTGTTTTTAATGGGTTGTTGTCCATGGATAGTTTCCTATACCCACTGTTATCTCGTTGTTGTTGCTTGTAATTGGTTGTAATTTTGTGGATATCTGAGTGCTCTTGTTCATTCTCTTCTATTTGCTTAGCTTGTGTTTCAGTGAATTCAAATATGAATGCTCTTTGAAGTGCCTCCTCTATTGTTAAATCAGTTTCTTTCAAATATGCACGGCGTAATTTGCTTGACAAGCATTTTTCTATTAATTGGTCCACTATAGCCTTGTCCAGGTTGTATTTGCCAAAGTTGCATTTTGTTCCTTGTATGCGTAGACGGGTGACATAGTCATGTGTTGACTCCCCGTTTTCTTGACTAAGCATCCTGAATTTATGTCTTTCAAAGACTTTGTTTTCTGGATGAAATATCCTTCCAGTGCTATTTTTGTTGTTTTGTATGTAGGCTCTACTTGGCCTGGTGGTATCTCCAGTGTTAAGGTTTTGAGGATATCTTTCAGTTTTTTTCCCCCGTAAAAGCGAAAGAGTGATAGTTGTCATTTATCATCTGTTATATCAAACGCTGTAAATGCATCTTCAATATATACATTCAATTCTCTCCATGTTTGCTCCTGAGTGGAGTCTTCTCCAGTCTAGGGGCTCTATTGTTGGCATAGAGAGAGCCATTTCTTTCGAAATAGTTTGTTACTCGTGTTGTTGAATTTGAGTACATTTTTTTCCTTTGCTGTTGAGGGGGTAATGTTTCGTTAATTCCAGGTTTTACACGTATTGTTGCTGAATTCGAAGATTTTTTTGCTGTTAATTCGAAGTTTTACTTGTGTCGTTGTTGAATTCGAGTATTTTTTTCTTTGCTGTTGAAGGGGTAGTGATTCGTTAATTCGAAGCTTGTTAAATTGTTACATCCTCGTCGCCAGGTGTGCTGTATACTGAAGAGTTCCCACCTCAACTGAGCAGGTTCTATTTATACTCACGCGGACATCACACCAACTATTCCAATAAACAATATAATAGTGTAAATAAACAATTTAATAAATAAATAAATAATGTTTATTGTTTTTGTTGTAAATTCTCAAGAACAAAGAAAATGTATAAATTCACTTTCATCATATGTTTAGGTTTTCTTAAAATTTTAATCATTGCTTTTTAAAACAATAAACATTTCCGAGGAGTGGAGGTAGTTAAAATAATGGTGGTGTCAATGGAAAAAAAAACATCCTTTTGGCACTCTGTTTTTTGCAAGCACAAAGGTCCAAGTTTGTAACTTTTTATTTTCTAAATAAGGTATTAATGTCACCTAAATTCATCCATGTTAACAAATTTCAAAGTTTTTATTTTTATTAACAAAAACGAAATAAAGAAAGCATTACCTTTGCGCCCTGGGTAGATATTTGGGTAATACTCATAGTAAACATCAGGAGTATCCAAGTTCTTGAAGCTTTGCAGTTCTGAATGTGCCACTGTATAGAGGCGGAGTTTGAAAAGCAAAGCAACACGACAGAACCACAACTACAAGAGATACGTGAATGTTAAGGTTAACTAACGTAATGGTTTATTACAGAATCAAATATATTTCAGGAAAATAAAATAGGAAATTGGTTCACAGAGAAATATTTTCACACAGACAAAAGAAAACACGTGCAAAAGTAATAAATAAAAAATCTTGGCAACTTTGATGAAAGATTTAAAATAAAGAACTGACTATGGAGAATAAAAACAGAAACAAATAAAGATGGCAGTTGGAGTTGTGTTGCTGTTAAATTTGGAATTTTTCTACTTGCAAATTTTTTTTTTAATACTATTGTTTACCTAATATAAGGTTCAAGAGCCAGTCAAGGTAGAGGGTTATTGAATAAGAGCATAAAGGGAGGAAGTAAGAAGTGCATATTATGGGGACATGAAGAATAGATAATGATTGACCTTAGACTTGAGGTTAAATTGTAGTGATTAAGAGAAGCATCCTCTTGGGATCCATAAAGTAATAGTACGGAGGAAAAAGCTGTCCAAATGAAACTTCCTCCTTAATGGAATATGAAAGGAATGTGGATGAGTTGACCCTGTATAAATGGCATGGCAGGTCCTAGCTGGGAAGGTCTGAACTGGTGAAACAAAGGAATGTCGCTGGTCTGAACATCTGCCATGAAAACAGTGATAGAGTAGGCTAGCAATATTTCATGCATAGGGGAAGGTGTTTTAGAGTGGAAAATAAGTCACCACCCAACCACCACAGTTCTGCATCAAGGTTGGAAGGTCATTAAGGGAAGCATCCTTTGTCATTACATAGTTGGTCAATATAGGTGGTGGCTGGGTGACCAACCTGTCTTGTGCCATGGCTAAGTGTCAAGAACAATAGATCACTCACAAGTTCTTGTTTTGCTCGCCTGCATAGTGCATTCTGTATTCATGTAAGATTGTAGGGATGGGTCCACAGAGCTGGGATTTAGTTGGATGTTGTCTCCAAGAGATGTTAAGTATAACTCTCAGCAGCTGAGTATAGGTTCCATCAAGCTTAGACACAAGGATTTTAGTTAGTATCAAAGCAGTGGTGCCATACATTAAAACTACCTCTACAGTGGTGCAAAAGAAGCTCCATTTGAAGTTGTCTAGTAGATCAGATTTCTAGATTACATCCATTTTATGGAAGGTGGCCCTGGCTTTATCTATATGAATTTTCATATCCTTTTCGGTAGAATTTATTTCGCTTCCTTGTTATGTAAAAGATTTGACAGATTTTATTGATTCTCCTGATACAGCTTGTACTGAGCCTGTTTGAAGAACTATGAATTCAGTTTTAGAAATATTGATATTAAGTTCAACATTGTTAGTAGCATTTCTAGATGATGTAGGAGAGCTGTGACATTGGCAATGGTGTATGTAGTGATAGCTAGGTCATCTGCATAGTCAATATCAATCAACTTTTATGCAGAATATCGACTTGAGAGTCTTGGTGATAAAGTAAAACCTAAATGATGATCTTTATCAATACATAGTCAAGCATGATAACAAAGAGAAAATATGCAAGGGTATCACTCTGAAGGACCCTTGCTTTAATGTTGAAGAAGCTAGTTTCTCCATCTGGGAATCTAAACAAAGATTTGGTATTTCTGTATGGCATCATTATGTCAGCTAGTGTCTCAGAGGGGATACCAAATGCTAGAAGGATCTCTGTTCTCCCCCTCCTCATGAACAGAATCAAAGGCTTTAGAGAAATCTATAAAAAGAAAATTTGCAAATCTACAAAATAGGACATATGCAAATAGTTTTATAGTGTTAGATAAAAATATGAAAAATAAAATAATAAAAACAATGCATGTTTGCATCTAAATAGAAATCAATAAAATTATGGCTTTACTTTGTACCTGAAGTGTATGTGAGGAATGCTGGGTCATTTGTCCAATATTTTCTGGTCCCTGCTGAGCAGTCATAAGGAGTCGCCCCGTCAATTCGACAGCAGCACGGAAACATTCATTTTTCTGTTTTAAAAAAAGCAGAGAAAGGAAATTACACTTACTTAGTTGACTTCATCGCATGTAACAGGGGCCATCTGACATTTTACACAGGATAAACAGAAGCATGAAATATTGACTTAGATTTTGCTGACTGTAATTAAAGTCTATTATGTTTAGCAATCTTATTTATTACTCTATCAGAGAAACTAAGTGTTCACTTATCAGTGTCTACTCTGAGTTGAGCAAAGATTACATCCACTCTTTAGGAGTGGGGGGGAGGGATTGATTTTAAAACTGAATTTAATTACGGAAATCATATTTCAATATCATATGATTTTTGTAAATAAATTTAATTTTACAATCAAGTCCCATGATGAGTGAATAGAGAGAAGATAAATAAACATTTTATTTATTGCCGTTAATACACAATCTCTTGATATAGAGCACTATTATTACAAAGACTGCTTATCTTAGAAGCATTACTATCCAGAAATATGCTGATCAACCTTTTTTTTTTGTGAAACACAACCTTTGTCATATATATATATATATGTGTGTGTGTGTGTGTGTGTGTGTGTGTGTGTGTGTGTGTGTGTATGTTTATAGGATGTATAATAGTATCCTAAATAAAATTTCCTTACACAGTTTCATTTTTCATTCTGACTTGAAGTTGAACCCAACACATGTCATTCATGTCCGTGAAATGTGTTGTTTAGAAGCTTTTTCCGTCTGTCTCATCATTATTATATATATATATATATATATATATATATATATATATATATATATATATATAGTGTATTTAGTGAGCAATCCCTCTTTTATACATATTTCATTAAAGGCAACTGACAAAGTATTGCAGTTAAGCTTTTTACTTAATTTTTCTTGTGTTCAAACAAGTGGTTTCTTTTCTGGACACAATATGTTATATGGATGATACCTTCTGCCTCTTTAATAATGAGGCCAAAGCCAACAAATTTCTCACCAAATTAAACTCTGTCCATCCTGCTCTGAAGTTCACCGTAGAAAAGGAGTCCAATTCTTGTCTTTCCTTTTTGGATGTTCTTGTCCATAAAATCATTGACAAGTTTGAGACTTCCGTATTTAGGAAGGCCACTTTTTCGGGACTTTATACGCGTTGGGAATCTTTTTGTCCCAGACAACGTAAGATTAATTTGATTAAGGCCTTAATTTCCAGGGCACTTAAGTTATGTTCTGAGGGTCTTCTCTGCAGGGAAATTGACTTTGTTAGAATGACACTATCAAAAAACGGATATCCCTTGGATGTTTTAGACGCCGTCATTCAAGATGTCATCAGTAAATTCCATAGGGTGAAGCCGCAATTAGCTGATAAATGCCCAGTTTATTTGTGTCTTCCCTATATTGGTACAGAGGGTGAGAGTTTATCGAAACATATTTCACGTTTAATCAATAGTTGTTATTTTTCTGCCAATGTTAGGGTAATATTTGTTACCCGTCCTGCTTTCTCTTCCATTCGTAAGGACGTCCTCCCTCCCTATCATGTTAATTCAGTGATTTACCAATACAAGTGTAGTTGTGGACATGACTACATAGGGAGGACGTCCCAACGTTGGGATTCGAGAATAAAACAGCATTTATCCCCCAGGATTTTGAATCCGTCCTCCAGGAATAGCCAACTGACCAACAATTCTGTTTCTGCTAATGCTGAACATTTAAAAAATAGTAGGAAATGTGTGGAAAATTTTAGTGGTGACCGATTTATTATTTTATCTAGGTCCCACTCCACATTTCACCTCATGGTTCTAGAGTCCTTGTATATCAGATCTTGTGAGCCTTCCCTTTGTAAACAGAAGGAATGCTTGCTGGGTCTGAATATTATTGGACTCTAGTTCCTTGAAATTCATAATTTTTTTTTTTTTTTCCCTCATTCAATTACATTCGTTAATTAAAAATTAATTTACACGTTTTTTTAAATTCCCAGAATAAATAAACTTGATAAGACCTGGGAGGAAATCGGTTGTTTTTATTTTAGCTTTTGCTTTTAAAAAATGCCTTATAAATATTGTCTTTTCCTATCTATTATTAAATTCTGTACCATGAAAAACTTATTTAAATATAAATATATATATATATATATATATATATTATATCTAGCATGAAACAGCCTGTTGCCTCTGAGTGTTGACTTCAATGTTCACTTTTATATTTACATTTATCTCTGATATTTTTTTATCCCATAAATATAGCACAACTTAAAACTAATTTATATATATATATATATATATATATATATATATAAAGAAATATAGTCTTAAGGTGTGCTATATTTATGGATAAAGTGCTCAATATCAGAGATAGAGCGTGTAAATATAAAAGTGAACATAGAAGTCAACACTTTTTTAGAGGCGTTATTTTTCTCGCTATTTATGTTTCATTGCTATTATGCAAAGTCGCTTTTGTTCATTTATTTGGGTCAGAGTTATATTGCTCGTTTTTATTTTTTTTTTTTTATTTTATTTATATATATTTATTTATTTAATGCGTAGTAAAAATTTTGTTTATATCACGTATTTAACAGTTTTGGTGCATTAAAGTGGGTATTCTATTCATTCTAATTATTTTTTGGCGGAACAGTTTTTTAATTTGGGATTGTTATTTTTTACCGGAAGTTTAGGCTTTTTTTTATTCATTTATTTGGGTCAAGTTATATTGCTCGTTTTTATTTATTTTTTTTATTTGGCCTGACGATTGCATATAGCATGAAAATAGACTGTCAACTCTAAGTAACCGCCATTGACTTCTATGTTCACTTTATATATATATATATATATATATATATATATATATATATATATATATATATATATATATAGATAGATATATTAGATATATATATAGAGACAAATTTATTTAGGTTTCATTTAAACAGATCGTCAGGGAAAGTCGGGCCAACTTTCCCCGGACGATCCGCTTAGGTGAAACCTAGGTAGGTTTGTCTGGCTCACTAGGTGTATCTAGGTCTGCTTCACGGTTGTATTGAGCTCTTTTGTTAGTTAGTTTTACTCATATTGGGTTTTTTCTTTGGGCTTCAAACCTGCATCTGTGCGATTTTTTCGACAGACTTTCATGTTTGTAGCTCTTTCATTTTTTAAAACCTTTTTTTCCCCTCGAGATTGATTTGATTATTGGCAAATCAAAAATTCGAGGGTTTTTCGAAACTAGTTATATATATATATATATATATATATATATATATATATAGTGAACATAGGAATCAACACTGCATGGTGACTGTCAGCTTCATGTTTTAATGTAATCTTCAGATCACTTGGTCACTGAAATGTTGATTCCTATGTCCACACTATCTAACCCTTTAGCATTCAACACACTCAAAACCACCCCATAAATATTGGCTCTCAAAGTTTCATTATTTGTGGTCAAAGTTTCAGTTTGTGTGACTTCCTGTATTACTTGCAATGATGCTGTCATATATTATGCGAGAGTATACATGGGGTGGGTTATAATGGGTTGAAAATTGAGAGCCAATATTTTATGGCACAAGTTTGGACATGTTGAAGGCTAAAGTGGTTAAACACATTACCTCTGATATTATGCACTCTTCTCTTATAAATACAGCAAATTTTAAACAATATGCACACACAAATTTTAAGTGAGAATTTTCTGTCCTACCACAAGTTTACAAAGTCCATCCACATCCTGTGATACCGAATCTGCACTCATTGTCTGACGATGATCAGCCTCATCATCTCCCATGAATTTACGTAGCATTTCTTGAATAGGATCTGGCTATAAAAATGAAGTCAATATGAGGTTTTTCAATCAAAATACATACAGCACCAAGTAAAACAAATTTCAAATTACAATTGTATAGAGTGTTATCTAAAAACACTGAACCATATGATTGACATGATCAAATATTAGACAAAGACCTCATAACATATTTGTTATTGAATGCTACTACATCAAGACCATAACTATTTATTGGTATCTTGTATTACATGCTTAAGGGCTTCTTCTGTTCCTTTGGTTGCTAAAAAGGAGCTTTATTTAAATAAACATATTAAATCATAGATAACAGTATTGTTGTGCAAAAAAACTGTTTTTTTAATTATTTATAAGATTGTATTGATCTTTTGCATTTAAACTTAAAAATGAAACTGATTTTGGCCAATGAAGGAAATAAAAGTCCTGGAACATATGCCAACATTCAATAAAATAATATACTAAGTGTAGCTTAGATATGGCACAAGGCCAAAAGTATGGCCTTCACTGAGTATTGAGTTCCATCTTCACACCTAGTGAAGATGGAACTCACTACTCAGTTGTAATTGATCTAGTGAGACAAGCTTGTTAACCATTACACCATGCTGAAGTGCCCTTGAATAAAATATATCAAAATTTTTATATACAGTGATGCCTTGAGAAGACTGTCTATTCCCATATACCTAAATTGAGCTCATCTCAGTAAAAGCAAAATTAACAAGTGTTTTCAATCAACTATGGTAATAAATAAATTGATAAAAAGAAGATATTTGATTTCAGAACTGAAAAGGAGTTGATAAAATAAAATAAAACATATGCATGTACGGAAACCTTGAAGTAAAAAAAAAAATGTGCAAAAAGCCAATGTTATGTAATATTTCATCATATTTGCAAAAATGATAGCATATTTCACAGCAGATAATGCATACCTATAATTTGGCACGGAATATTTAAAAAATAATATTTGACTGATGATTTATCTGTACCATTATTTTAATATTATTTTCATGAGTATCAAACTCGATTTTTTTTATTACAAAAAAATCCTTGCCATTTTTGATTTATTAGAAAAAAAAAGGTATACAGCAAATGTGACAAACTGTTAATCCTCATAATAATCCCCATCAGTGTCCAGAACTTTTTGCCAATGTGACTCCAGCTGCGCAATATCCTGGCAGAATAAATCAGGTTTCTTGGATGCAAAGAAGTCTTTGAGTGCCTGCCACAAGTCTGCCTCATTTGTCAAGGATTTCCAATGAAAGTTGTCATTCAAGGAATGAAAAAGGTAATAATCTGTTGGTGCAAGGTCCAGAGAGTAAGGTGGATGGTACAGTGTCTCCCAGCCAAGTCACCATATGGTATCCCTGGCCACCTGTGCCACATGAGACCTGGCATTTTCATGAAGGAACAGTAAACGCTTGCAATTAAACAATGCTGGCTCCCAATTTAGTGCCTGTTGCACATATTCCAACTGCTGCAAGTTCAGGTCCATAGTGAAGATTTGGCCGTTGGTAGCAGCTCAGAGTGGACCACTCGTTGACTAGTCCACCAGATATGATCTTGTGTGAGTGTAGAGGTGGTCTTGTGGTGTGAGGCACAGGATTCTATGGTGACATGGGAATGTCATACAGGACCCACTTTTCATCACTGGTGATACATTGTGGTGTTGATTGTTGGCTTTCCACAGTATGTGGGGAACCTACTTGCTCAACATGTATGCCATCCCTATGAGGTGCAGGTGAAGTTTGACAGTTTCATTGGAAACTTGGAAGCATTTGGCAAGCTCACTCAGCTGTTGTCCTCCTCTATGGCCACCTTCAGGGCCACATCATTCAGAACCATTCTGGGGTTCATCATAAAGGGACAGATCTCCTAACCTGAACTTCTGGAACTGATGCTTGGCAGTGCATTCACTCACAGTATTATCTCCAAAGGCATGACATATATATTTGGTGATCTGATGCAGCTGTGGACAATTCCATGTCATAAAGCAGACAACTCTAAATGTGCTGCTTTGACACCACGTTTTCTCATCACTGCTCAATCTGTGACTCGTGTGCACTACACAATTTCAGTGGTCAAGAGCAATGCCTCCATCTCCACCACTGCATTCATTTGCCTATCAGTGATCACTTCTTCACACATGATATAAAAAACACCAAGGACTTTTTTTGGTTACCCTACATTTTAATATTATTTTGATTTGTAAATATAATTTAATCATTTATAATCATATATATTTCATTCTGGGGTCATTTAACTGATGTTATTTTAAATTATGTTTTAAAAGTTTTAAAACTTTTTGTGGGGCTGTTTTTTGGAGGCACCTGCATAAAGATTGTGGGATAATAATTATCTTAAATGAAGAAAAAAAATGGATATATAAATTTATTTATTTATTAAATTTATTGCTTGTTTAAAATATTTTCTTAAAATAAATCATATAGAAATGTGTGTGTGTGTATATATATATATATATATATATATATATATATATATATGTGTGTGTGTGTGTGTGTGTTTGCTCTTTATTCAAAAGAAATCATAAAATAAAAATTAAGTTATTATTTATACACAGTTGTCAGTGATAATTTGTTAGAATTTCTGGCATAAGGAGATATCATTATTTATACTATTTACATGTGGACTATTGTCCTCATTATTGTTGTTGACGAATTGACATACACATGATGAAGGCCAGAGGGCACAACAATCAAAATGTTGTGATAACAATAACAAAGAAGAGGATAATAGTCAGCATGTAAAAAGTGTAAATCATAATATCAATGATGTAAGCAGAGTTTCAAACATCACATTTGTACAGATAACTCTTTAAAAAGTCAGGGATCGATTTGAAACTGTATTTATAATATGAACAGGTAACCCCACCCACCACCTTCTGAATTAATAGAAAAATCAATATTTTTTGATTCTAACAAATGTCATGGCCAGATGAAATGAATGCTAATCTACAAAAATTCTCTCACACAAATTTTTCCCTATTTTTTATGAACAGAGCAGTCAATTTAAGTAGTGCTAGTCAGAAGGCAATATTTGTTTACCTTCATATTTAAAAGACTAAACAGGCAAAAAATGATAGCTTTTTTTTAACGAGATAGTTCTTCATTCACAATGACAAACATCTGTAAAAGTATGGTATTTATGTGCAATTGAATGAAACCTGGCACAAGGCCATGAGTTTAAAGAGGGAATCTGATGCATAAACAAGAACGATAACAAAAAAACTGCTCAAATTCCTTTGCACTTCCCTATGGAGGCATCTCATGCATCAGGGATTGATCCGGACCTTCCCTCGTCTCCTCTTAAAGTAAGGGCAGAGGTGCCATGCATTTCCCTTTTCTTTTAAATCATTTCACCACCCCAGGCAAGGCAATAAATCCACTAAGATGCAAGGGGTTACTGAGACTGAAAGAAACTGAGAAAATTTTATTGAGGAGATAGGACAGTAAAAAGAACAAGATAAAAGATTAATGTATTCAAATTTTTGAAGATAGTAGTTGACAGGAAAGCAAGAAGCTGAAAGAGACTTCCATGAGTAAGATGTAGTGCATAATTTACAGTTACCTCTAACAATTTCAACAGTAAAATGATGAGACCTAGCCGCCAATCTAGTACTGCCTTTAAATTCATGAAGTTGAGGTTTGAAAGAAGAATTGCCATGAAAATATTTATAAAAAAGGTACAAAGAAGGTATGTTATAGTGGTGGGGAAAATGACTGAAGCCAAGATGCCAGATATTGCAGATTCTTTTTTCGATTTTATCAACAATCTCTAAATACATGGCAGAAGCACCAGACCAGATGTAGCAGCTATAGTCAAAGCACAGATGAATAGTTGACTTATAAATGTTTAAGATAGATTCTGGCAGGAAAAATTACCATATTTGCTGGCCTATTGGACACACCTATATATTAGATGCACTCAGATTTTGGCATAGAATATTTAGGGGAAAAAATGCACACCTCACAATGAAAAATAAGTAAGGCAAGGTTTAATTACCAGGACATTTTTTGAAGAATTATTTTAGTATGTTTCATTATACATTTATTGAAAATTGTTTTAGTTGTTTTCCAGGGAGCAACGTCTGCACATTCAGTAAATTCATAATAGTTACAAAGAAATCTGGTATCAGTGAACACTGGTACATATGGTAATAGGCAAAAAAAAAACAAAAAAAAAACAGAAATATGGTACTTGTTGGTAAATGAAGTCCCATACAATACATGCAGAAGAGCAAATTCCAATACCTGTATATCAACAAAAACATGCACAAAGCAAGCAGCAAAATATTGTGCAATTCCATAAATTTCTTAATTTCTTTTTCCTGAGTGAATTTTTTCAAGGATATGTTTTATTGATATCATGTTTGTTCATTTCCAGGAGTCCTAGTTTCAGAGCTATGCTCTATGCGTGGCACTGATTCCTGGTGAACCTCACTTTTTTTTGTGTCCCTTTCATACATTATGTATTTCTGTTATAGGGTAATTTTTGGGTGCATTGTTTTTGAAAATCAGCGTTCAATAAGCTGGCAAATATGGTACTTACAATAATCTTATCAGATTGAATTCCCAAATCACTTCAGGGTTTTTTTACCTAAACAACTTTGGTAAAGTTTAGTGGCTCTTTCTACAGACACAAACTGTTGTGATGAGATAACCCAACTTCCCCATTCACGATAATGGACGGTCTGGTGACCGATAAAGCAAACCACAGGAAAAACAGTAAGGAGAGCAACAAAAAGAAGGTCTTAGTTTACCATTGGCGCTTTAGCTTACTCCTGACTCTGTCTCTGTATTTTGACATACCTAATCCGATTATAAAATTATTATTGAAAACCACACTGGTTACTTTGTTTATTATATCTTGTACAGATATAACAGCTAGCTTAATTGCGTTAGCTTACTCCTGACTCTGTCTCTGTATTTTGACATACCTACATCCGATTATAAAATTATTATTGAAAACCACACTCGGATTTACTTTGTTTATTATATCTTGTACGAGATATAACACAAACTAAGGCTGGACATCTTACTTACCTGAGTTTCTTCAACAGTTATTCCAGGTGTGGCAAGAATTTCTGAAGAATAATCTGTGTTGACAGACTGTCCACTAGAAATTTCAGACAGAACTTTTTTTGTCTCTTCTGACGGAATCCAAGCATCATGTCTCCTGTCCTCATCACTCATGTGCAGGCCAATTGTAAAAAGATCCTCAGTTCCAGGCATTTCATTAAACTGTTGGAAAGGTACGGTAGTGATTCCAGAGGTTGGGGGAAGTGTAGCAGTTGTTGAAGCAGACATTGCACGTAATGGCTGGTGAACAGGGGTGCTGTGGCTAGAAGTTACAGCTGCACTGACTATGCTCTCTGTAACTGACTTCATTGCAGATTCGGTCGAGGAGCTGGCACATACTGACCAATTATCTTTTGATTCTTCACTCATGGGCTCAGAGGAAAAAACTGACAGGCCACTGTCCTTGGCAATTCCAGTTGATGGTGAGGTTTTACTCGAAGAAGACACATGTCGCTCTCGTTCATGGGTAGTGTGGTCTGTTGTGCTGTGGGTGTAGCTTTCATTGAACACCTGCTTGGGTGACCCAGTCAGTCCAAGTTCAAACCCACTCTGACTTTCCTCGGCTGTAAAAGATTCAAATTCTTCACCATCGAGCAGGAAGTCTTCTTTCTCCTGTACTCGATTCTCTTCCCCAAGAGCAGGTATCGTCCCTTCAAAGGTCACACTCTCAGGTTCAGCATGCACCTGTTTAAAACAAGACAGACATTAGCAGATGCTATTCAAAATTATTACCGTTTAATGCTGTGGGATTACCCTACCTGGTCTGCTAGGGATCTTTTCTTAATGCCTGCTAGGTGGTGTTGTGAAAAGCAATATAAAAGCAAAGGGCACAAACTCTCACTTTTTCTTATCAACCATAAGATTCTGTAGTGACCTATATTATACTTACCTGGCACAGGAGTTAACCATTAGCCAATGAGGGGTTATTGAGTTGTGGTTAACACTCCCTGTGCTTCAAGTGGAGCTATAATTCTCCTCATTGGAGATGAGAGAAGTTGTTCAGTCCCAGGGATTCCAACCGTGCGGCAGCACCTTCCTCAGTGCACTAAAGAGGTTGGGTCAGTGTAACACTAATGCCAGAGTGACAATGCTCTTGGGGGCTGGGCAAAAAACAATTTTTGTCCTTGGCCCATATGCATAAATATGCATATGATTCTCCCCACATTAAAACGACCTTGTGTCACATCCAGCCTTAGTGGAGAGGCCAGGTAAATATACCTGCCATGTCTTGTTTCCCCTCGGGGAAGGCTTCTTAGTTATCAGGTGGCCCACATGTCCCATACTATAAATTACATTATCTCCTTAAAAAAAAAAATAAATTAAAAATAACCCTCATGCAACCACAATAATATCTCGACTACAACCTATCACATAGATAGATATATATATATATATATTTCCTTCCAGAACAATATCCCTCTTCAACAAACTGTGAATGCTGCTATAAACGAGTTGATTCTGATGTGATTGATTGTCTGATTCATTTTCTACAGTTTATCAACCATTTGCAGGTTATTTAAAGCCATAAAATATTTTTAGATTGTAAGAACTTATTTCTTGGAGATAATGATGATTTAGTGCTACAAGTCTTACTAATTAACCCATAGCTGGGAGGAAAGAAGAGGTAGATTTATACATTTGCACACAAGTGAATATAACAAACCCAACTGGAATTAGAACTTATCTCCTGATTAATAATCCTGAGCCATTATCCATTACACTACCTGCATATCCAAGCTTACAGCACCTGGTATTCCCAAGTTGTCACACATCTAGGTACTCACCAGGCTCAATATTTCATAACACTGGTGATTGTACAAGAACTGATGTTTCAATGTGATGTGGTTGTAAACCTAGATTCTGATGTAATTTGAACATAGTTGTATAATTTCTTTCTTAATTAAATGGTGTTCATTTCTAAGTCTAAGAAAAAGAAAGAAACTCATGCGATGATGATATCCCTACTACATCATATCACAAATATATATCTCATTCCCACAGAAGAAAATATCACAATTCAATAAATAAGACAACTGGTGACTACTGCAATGAACTAGTAACCTAATGTTGTTACAATCTTACTCTGTTTTAATATGTTGTTCTAATTTTACCTGTATTACTATTTTGAAATGGTGTATTAAGATGGTAAACCCTTCTTGTTTTGTGAATGAAGTAATGTTCAGAAGGAGTATTTTCAATCAAATGTTATTACAAATGGTAACGCCAACATGATTTGATTGGGACTAAGAAACCATCCTGGAAGTGAAACAAGACATGTCTTGTCATTTTAGCATCCTGTGGCTGAAGAGAGAAAAAAAAAAAAAAGAAAGAAACAGAGTTTGTACCCTTTCCTTTTATACAACTCCACCTAGGAGGCATTAATAAAGGTCCTTTAATAAAAAAGGTGGTGTAATCCATCAATGTCAACCTATTTTTTTGTTCTTAAATTTGTCCTTGTTTTACTATTTTTTCCATTTTTCAGGGTTAACCTCAACTTTTTTTTCAATTATCTTTGGCCTTTTTCTTCAATTCCTTGAACTCTGGATACTTTGCTTATTTCATTAGACAAATTGTCAATTATCACAAATATGTTTCTCTAAATTTTACTTACAACTGTGAGGGGGTGCTGAACATTTCTTAGGCTGATCCATTTTTAAAAATCTGACTAAATAACCAAACATCAAAATTAATTTTGGAATCTCTTCTTCATCAGGTCAAGAACTTTGCAGCACCCCATCACCGCAATGATACCTGGGATTGCCTGGATCAAGTCCTTTTCCTTTGTTCTACTGCACAATATGATTTCTTTGAAGAATTTACATATGCCATGAATAGAAATAACAAAAGTGTTAACTACAACATGTTAGAATTAATATGTTAGATCTTAATATAGTAATAAACATGTCAACATTGATTCTTCAATCTACTCCAAAACTGTGATCAAAATGTTAAGATCATTCCCACTTTTGTGGTAGAAACTGGTTTTATTTAAATAACTCAGTCAATTGACCTCAGATTAAATCATAAGAGTCAATGAGCCCACATCACAATTGTGAACTCTTTTTTTTATAGTTGAATAGTATGAGTCTTACCAGTTGTCTTCTTTCTAGATTGTGTTACCACCCAAGGCTAGAGAGCCCACTCTGCCCTACTATTTAACCCATAACTGGAAGAAGAAGAAGAGGGTATTTTTGCAAAGATTAATGTAACTCAGCTGAAATTTGAACTTGGCATGTCAATTTCTCTTTCCAAGGTGATAACCATTAATGAATTTTATTATAAAACAAAATATATACATATATATCAAATTTAACTATAAATGCCATCATTAAAACAAACCCCATTTAAAAAAAATGATCACTAAGGACCAAATTGGAAAAGAATATTAAAACAGTTATTTTTACAAATTTGATTTTTAAAACTGAATATTCAAATTAGTTATCCTATTACACTACAATAGGATAAAACTGATAAAAGAATTAGGGTACAAAGTTTAGAGTGGGTTCTGAAGTAAAGAAATCAGGAATATCTATAACAAGAATTGCAAACAATTTGAGAGTTTAATTATTTTTTTCAAGAAAGCAACACAATGTTTTTTTTCCTCAATATGTGTGTGTGTGTGTGTGAAAGAGAGAGAGATAGTATATGATAGATGTTTTATTAAAAATGACAGACAAGGTATTTCTGTTAAGTTTCTTCATTGTCTTTTCTTGTGATTGAACAAAAGATTTCTTTTTAGATTTAGTATTTGTAGAAATTGTCCAAATGATTGTTTTTTCCAACTGTTTTGGGTTAATCTATTAGGTACTTTCAAGGATTTTAGTTGTGCTTTTGCAAATGATGAATAAGTTGCTGAAAGGGAGACATGTTTCTTAATTCCCCAAATAAAGCCATTACATTATGACCATGTTCATAGTTGATGTTATTAAGGATTGTTTTTTTATGGTGAAGGCTTCTATTATTTTTTTTAACACTTTTTACAGTTGAAAGCATGTATTATATTTGTGTTATCAAGTTAACAAGATGGCTGACCTTAAATCTCTATGACCACAGCTCTATAAGAACATATTTAAACCTGCATGAAAACTTACCAACTTCAATATTCAACATACTCATTGTAAAATAAAATGTTTTCAAACATCTTTTGTTTGCACACAAGAAAAACAAGGAAAAATTAACAGATGTAGCTTGTCAGTTATTTTTAGTGAAATATATATTAGAGAATCACAGACTCACAACTGTGTGTGTCTGTGTATTATAGTATGTGTGTGTGTCTGTATTATAATGTTTGTGTGTTTGCGCATATGTCTTCTCTTTTATCTATATAATAAATGCAAAAATGTCTGTGTCACACTTTTTCAATTAAAGAGCCCTTCACAGAAGCTAGCTTATATGCCACCTGATAGGACGGCTTTTAAGCTAGTAATACTATACTTGTTATTTTACTTATTACATGTGATTGAGTAGGCATCTATGTTTGTTACAAACAGTGAAATTAATGGTTACTTGAGTCTCATTACAGAAAATGAATCTCTTGGCAAGAATTGAACCTGTATTCCCTTTTTCTGGGGAATCACATTTTAACCAGATATGTCACATCATTAGGCTAGGAAAATCTTTACAGCTAACAAAGGAAGGTTCAATTACCTTTTTGAAGAAATTTGCATCTCTTGTTGCAACTTTCTACTAGTGATTAAAAAAAAAAACAACTAACTTATAGAAGGATTTTTTTTAATCCAAAAATATTTCTCATTACTATAAACTTATATATATATATATATATATATATATATATATATATTTATTATGAACAGATTTTTAGTGCTACACCATCTATTATTCTTAAAACAGGGAACATTTTATTAATCAAAAAATCAAATACAAACGTATCGTCTTAATTAAAAATAGAAATCTGATCCTTCGTCAGAAGAAAAATCGTCTGAATTACGAAAAACTACTGAAAGGAAACAAACCTCCTTGTAATAGAATTAGGAGAAACAAGGAGGAGGGGAGGGAAAAAAAAATTTCAAGTTGCCCAGAACAAGACAAAAACTCACTGAAGAGTGCCAGTTTATGTTTCAGCTCCCTTTGCCTACATAGAATCGGATGAGATATGTTGATAACAACCACTTCCGAGATATTAAGATGATGTTTTGTCTGAGCCCTGTACAGTACAGAGAAGAAATCCACTGAATAATTGGACCCACAAATGACAAAACTCAAGAAATGCTCCCTAATAGCAGACTTGTGCATCTGTGAGTTCCCAGATAATAATAGGGGCATGTCTATGTATAAAGCCAGGGTACGTCCTGCGCCATCCAAACCTCCAGCTGCTGGATAGTCTTACCCACATAGCCTCACACTGACACTTAAAATGATAAATAACAGAACTTTGTTGATGGGTGGGCAAGACATCCTTATAGAGAGATGGGAAAGAACTCCTAGTAGAAAAGATGTTCCATACTACTACAGAATTGAATCAGTGCATGACAGCTGAGGAGATCTTATCAGTGCAAGATTGACTAAAAGATCCAACCCAGGGTAATCTCATGTAGGTGGATCAAATGTTTTAATTTCATTAAACTCAAAAATTTGAAGTCTAATGTTAGTTTTGATGACACTTTCAGGATAGCTGTTGTTGAGAAAGATATTGGTAATTTTCCGAAGTTCAGCATCAAGTTTGC